AGCTGGTGAGAATTTACCTGTAACTAAGGATTGCTCAAGTAAATAAGGTATGTGTTTTTTCAAAGTGAGAGGAGATATTCTAGCAGTATGTTCATCAGAGGTCATAAGCCAACACCAAACTACCTACCTCTTTCATTTCATAATTACTGCTACCAAATAACTCATTCATGTCATTTCCCCCTTCTATGAAAGAACATCCAAAGGGTTCTAAAGTACAAAAACATTGAAAGAGAAAAGCCTGACACTCACCCTCTGTGCCCGTTCTGCAATGACAAAGTTGACATAGCTGAGTGGCTCTCTGGCAGGGTCGGGGCTGGTCAGCGCATACATGGAGAAGCGGGGAAGCTGTCTTGTCAGTTCAAACACATGAAACTGGGTGCTATGGTCAACCAATGGAGCACAAGAAGAGAAATGGGTTGTGTGGAATATTATTTCAAAATGCAAGGCCCAGAAAATAACTATAAAGTCACTACTGGGTCATCGAGTTGTTATTTGCGGGTTTCGCTCAAGGGGAAAAACCCAAAAACCTTGAGCATTAAGTACTACTACAGTAATGGGGTTTGGGATTAGCAAGAACATGAGTCTTATACATACACACAGACATGCACCAAGGGTTTAAAATGCCCTTTTTTTATTTTTGAAAGATTTCAAATTTGGGAAGTAAAAGTCATGGGAAATCTTACCTGGGTGGGTAGAACCATCAGATGGCTCCTTTGGCCCCCCCAAAATCCGTGGCACAACAGAAAATCTACCCATTTGCCCTCCTCTAAGTGCTGGCTAGAAATGAACTGTGATTGCAGAGAGTCACCTGCTTCTGTAACCCACGAAGGTTTTCAAGTGCAGATCCACAGGGACATCTTTGGGAGGCGTAATTGGGATGCGGATGGAGCTGGAAAGGTTGTGAATGCTGGGGTGTACCACGTGGCTTTCACCTAGAAAAATTCCCTCGGCAAAAATCAATACCGCTCGGATGATGGTGTCTACAGAGAAGAAAGAAAACGGCAGTTCAAGAACCACTCCAAGATGGCAAAGGTATCCACAGACACCAGCTATAAATAATTTCTTACCATTAGAGGTGGAAATACACAATTCTGCATGAGCAGCCTGGGTCTCATGCCCCAGATTGACCGAGAGGGCGGTGTGCAGCTTGGTATTGGCTGGGATGATACCCCGAAGTCCATCAGCCTCACTCTGTGGACCGCTCAATTCAGCCTGCAAAACATGCCCCCACTTCCAACTCAGTCACCAAAGCAGTGAACTAATGTCAATTTTAAATAATATGGTTATTCGGCTTCAAAAGATTGACTCCCAACCATCTGATATTAATCTGATTCTTTAGAATTCAGAGGACTTACCTCATTATCACTCCCTTTCTCTACCCAGCCTCTTCCCAAGGGAAAAATTCCCTGTCCCTTTCTGTGGTTCAGGTTCACTGTACCCCACCATGCCTTTTATAGTTTTGGGGTTGTTCTTTTTTTTTTTTTTTAAGATTTTATTTATTTGACGGAGAAAGACACAACGAGAGAGGGAACACAAGCAGGGGGAGTGGGAGAGGGAGAAGCAGTTTTCCTGCCGAGCAGGAAGCCCGATGTGGGGCTCGATCCCAGGACCCTGGGATCATGACCTGAGTTGAAGACAGTCGCTTAACGCCCCTGGGGTTGTTCTTTTATTTTTTTTTTTTTAAGATTTTATTTATTTATTTGAGAGAGAGAGAATGAGAGAGAGAGCACATGAGAAGGGGGGAGGGTCAGAGGGAGAAGCAGACTCCCTGCCGAGCAGGGAGCCCAATGTGGGACTCGATCCCGGGACTCCAGGATCATGACCTGAGCCGAAGGCAGTTGCTTAACCAACTGAGCCACCCAGGCGCCCGGGTTGTTCTTTTAAACAAGCAAAATTAATTCACTTAATAATAAATTCAAATACAATTACCCATGACAAGACAAATTAAAGTCCTACCTCCCAGCTCATCCTCCAGCCAGGCTTGGTACACACACACACACACACACACACACACACACACACACACACACACACACACACACACACACACACACAGGTTTTGTAGTTGTCAACTTTTATGTTGTTTTTGAAAAAGGTAAGAGATACTCTATACATATTGTTCTTGCATTTTTTCACTCAGTAAGGCCATAGATATCTTTCTGTATCAGTCCAACTACATATGCCTCATTCTCCTGAGCTGCTTAATATCCTCCAGCACACTCCTTACTACTGATCAACATTTCAGTTGCTTCCAACTGTTCACTGCCACAGTGCTACCGTAAATGTCTTTGAACACGTGTGCAAATATTTCTATAGTTCAGCTGCATGGAAGTGGGATTTCCAGATTAAAGGATACGTGCCTTCTCCCCTATGACCCTGGCAAAAAGGCCAAAGCAATCCGTGCTTCCGCCAGTGGGCAGGAGGGGCTAACACTCAGTCTTCCTTCACATTTGCCATTCCCACCTCTCCAGACTCCCACTAGCCCTAAGGAAAATTTCCGTTTCCATGAGGTCCTACCTTGGTGTTTTCCTCATAGTTGCGGAGTTCCAGCAACAGATTCTGTTTTTTCTGACTCAGCTCTCGGATCAGGTCCTGCTCTACGCTGGTGTCCATGAGGTTCCCTCTCATCTCCGCTGTGCCTGGCAGGTAGCCCCGGACTGCACAACAGGAAAAAAACCCTCACCGCATGGAAGAATACCGCAGCATAGCCAGCTCTACTTTTAAATCAACTGTCTGTTCTTAAAAACCAAAAACCTAAGTTCTCATCCCCCCCAACAAGGTGACTTTATTAGGATCCGAGGATATCCATACAAACACTTTATAGTGAAATTTCCTGGTATACTGACCCAATCAAATTGAAAATCTGACTTTTCAAGGATTTTTCCCATCCCAATTTACTTTCCCCATCCACTGCACAGCAGATGAGCTGTGTGTGACCGTCCATCCGGTAATCTCCCTCCAGCACACCAGCAATTGCAGAAGAAAAGTTGTCTTTAAAGATGACCTCCCCAGTTCGGTCACTTCGAGCATCAACCTAAAAATAAAATAAGAACTTGAAAAATAGCTTATGCTTTATTTAAAAAACACACACACACACAAAATTTTAAAGTCAGAATCAGCTCTAAAGGTCAGCTAGTCTAGCAGTTTTCAAGAGTGCTCCATGGAGCCCCATGGCTTCTCAGGAGACACCTATGACCCCTGGGGCTAAGGGCACCATAAGGGGCCACAACCAGCTACTTTCTTCTCTTTAAATAAAAGCTGTTTTGCTACTGGCCTTTACATAATGTCATTTGGAGAAATGGGTTGCCAGTTCATATACAGAGAATAGGGCAGGTCCAAAATGTCTGGGTTCAGATTCCAGCTCTGCCACTTACTATCTGTGGCCTTAAGAAAGCCTCTTATCCACTCCCTGCTTGGTCTCTTCATTTGGGGGTCAAGAACAAGAACCTGAAGAAAATAACCATACCTACACCCCACAGGGTTGGAATGAGACCTAAAGAAGTTAACACATTAAAGCACTTAGAACAGGGGCGCCTGGGTGGCTCAGTCGTTAAGCGTCTACCTTAGGCTCAGGTCATGATCCCAGGGTCCTGGGATCGAGCCCTGCGTTGGGCTCCCTGCTCAGCGGGAAGCCTGCTTCTCCCTCTCCCGCTCCCCCTGCTTGTGTTCCCTCTCTGGCTGTCTTTCTCTCTCTGTCAAATAAGTAAATAAAATCTTTAAAAAAAAAAAATAAAGCACTTAGAACAGAGTCTGGCACATAGATGTATACAGGAAATGTGAGTTCTATATAAAAACGTTATCTTTATCATCTGTGCATATAAATTATATTTACATCTAAAGTTTGAAAAACACCAAACACCAAGCTAGCTCAACCTTCCTTCATATAACCTTTTATAATAACCCTGTTTAAGAGTCTCTCTTCCATGTAAAAACTATTGAGATACCCCAGCGAGCCCTCCCATCCTCACTGAGTCTCCCCTTCCCAAGAAAGGCAAATAAATAAATGATCAGAAACAAATGAACCCAAAAAACAACAATGAAGGATAACCACTTAAAATGATGACTTTTGTTTCAAGCAAGAACAAGTGTTATCAATAAAAGGGTAGCTATAGAAAATCTGGTAGAGCAATCATTTCAATGGCCAGTGCTATTCACCATTTTTGTCTGTTCATGAACATCCTTCTGGGCAAAACTTCACAACAACCACAACCAAAATAAAGTCATTTAGGTCACAGCCTACTACTAGCTCCTACCCCTTGTCTGGAGAATGTCACATTCAAGTATCCATGCTCTCAACGACAACATGTAAGCCTGATAATTACCAATGCTAAGGTTTGTGAAGTAATGAACGGTCTGTATTTACCAAAGCCCTTAGCACATTAACTCTCAGGGCCCCTGGATGGCTTGTCGGTGGAGCATGCAATTCTTGATCTCGTGGTCCCGAGTTCGAGCCCCATGTTGAGTGCAGAGATTACTTAAAAAAAATAACAACCCTCTAACTCAGACTGAACTGAACTTACTTCTGCATTTACACAGTATTTTACAAATAAGAGTTCATTTACTAAGAAGCAAGGCTACAAATTAATATTTCTCTGGATATTCTGCTCTTTGCTTTATCCAACATGGAGGTTTTGCCCTGGAGCAGAGAATGGCCCTCCAACTCAACAAACGACCTACTAAAGGTAAAGTTAATCGGCTGTTTACATTCATTTGGTATTTCTGCACCTATATTCACATGCTGGATCTCTATATTTCCCTTTTGTATGCTATTTCTGCTAAGTGTAGATATCAGTTTTTCTACTTATATAATGAACTGTGTTAATTTTCTTATCTTTTTTTATGTTCTGGAACAGATTATATAATAGAAATTCCTTAAAATTTTGAAAGCATTTAACTCTAAAAACATCTAGGTCCGGAGTCACATTTGAAGGTAACTTTTTATTTTTAAGGTAACTTTTGATAACTTCTCAAGTCTAGTGATTTCTAATTCTTGACTCAATCATAGTAATTTAATTTATATTTATAATTTATATTTATTTTCCCCCAGAATACGGTCCATTTTACAATTTTCATGTTTCTTCCTAAAGAACACAATCTTCCCCTATAATTTTTTTATTTTTTATTTTTTTTAAAGATTTATTTATTTGTAAGAGAAAGAGAGAAACTATGTACACAGTGCGAGGGACAGAGGGAGAGGGAGACAGAAAGACAATCTCAAGCAGACGCCCCGGGGCGCCTGAGTGGCTCAGTCGGTTAAGCGGCTGCCTTCGGCTCAGGTCATGATCCCAGGGTCCTGGGATCGAGCCCCATGTCCGGCTCCCTGCTCAGCAGAGAGCCTGCTTCTCCCTCTCCCTCTGCCTGCCACTCAGCCTACTTGTGCTCTCTATCTCTCTGTCAAATAAATAAATAAAATCTTTAAAAAAAAAAAAAAAAAAGCAGACGCCCCACTGAGTGCAAAACCTGGACGGGGGGCTCAATCCCATGATCCTGACGTGACGACCTGAGCTGAAATCAAGAGTCAGACGCTCAACCAACTGAGCCACCCTGGCGCCCCAGTCTTCCCTTATCATTTTTAATGTCCACGCCAAAGACAAAACCAGGTAAAGAAGCAGGAACCAACACAACAGTTCTATAGAACCCGTTCTTCACACAACACCAGAGGAAGGTTACAAGGTCCTGGCCAAAAGCAAAGAAAAACTAAAGAAGAAAAGGCAGGAATTAGCTGATCTCCTTTAGGCAATCCAGCACTGTCACGCAAAAAAGCTAGGGCAAATGGTACCCATGGAGATCTGGCAGCTACTTAGACAGTTTCTAACAAGACAATCCTGACTTGCCAGAAGTCTGCAGAAAATTCTGATTTGAACTTAAAAAAGGAAAGAAAGCAGAAAGATTGTATTTTGAATTTTATGGCTGGGAAAACAATATGATAATATGATTCTTCCCATTAACTCTTAAGTTTTCAGTCAGTCTTAAAGATTAGAGAAGAGATATATAAACAGTTCATTATTTGCTTATTAAAATTCCTTTTTTTACGGTCCTACACCTACGATCAACCTGATTAAACTGATTCTCATTTCTTCAAGAAAGAGATTTAGAAAGATCTTCCCAAAGATTTTCTCCCAAATTGGGCTTTTAAGACCAAAAGGACACTCATTCACTTGTAGTCCTGACGCTATAGCAGGAAGAAAAAATGTGCAAAGATTATGAAGTTAACTTTGAAAGCACAGCCAAGGAAGACAAGTTTATATTCTCATGTTACTGCTTCTAAGTTGTGCTGCCAGTATATCTCAAACAAATAGTCTCTGAAGTATACATACCTGAACTCTGTATTTAAACTTACCTTCCCATTGGACCAACCAGTTATCAGTTCACACACTCCATCAGAATTAAGGTCGAAAGCATGAATGCTCATGGCGTGATTTTTGGACTGAAAAAGAATTTCAGTAATTAGTTCAGAAGTCTTTCAATAAGTATAAAATCCCTGAATGTTGGAGGCTGAATTATACTAACTTTAATTCTCCAGTATCGGGCTGTTTTGTCGTAAACTCCAACTGTGCCATTGGAAAGCGCATAACCAAATCGACTGCCATACATGGGGCAAAGAGAGGTGATTATCTGCAAGAAATATAACACATAAAAACACAACATCTTCCCATTAAGGTTCAATTTGATGTGAGGTATGGCTTTATAAAATTGCATGCCTTGCTACCAAGTGTGTTAAAATTAGATTTAAATCTGTTAGAGGGGAATGTATTTCTTTTCTCTATGATCCATGTCATCTATTTCAGAGTTGGGTAATCATAATTAAATAAACTCACAAAGTTTGCTGTTTTAGATCAAACTTATGTGGCAAGTTTCAGCAAATTATTTTTAAAAAAACAAAATTGAGTGATTAAGGATGAAATAAAGTGACGTATATAAGACACAGAAAATGTACAACAGACAGTTATAAACACTAACTCAAAAAATGTTTTAATATCCTAAGGTCTAAATTTTAAAGATTTGTAAAACCCACAATTGAATATCTTTTATGTACATGCTTTTCTTTCTATGACATAATTTATTGCTTGCTAGAGATGAAAGATGTTTTTTAGAAGAAAACATAATTCTTTGAAAAGCACAAACCCAAGCACATGGATTTGTGTATGTATGTAACAATATACAGAATGTGTATATCATACAGAAATATTTATAGGACTGTTTTTTGGTTTTTTTTGTTGTTGTTGTTTTTTAAAGATTTATTTATTTGAGAGAGCGAGAATGAGAGAGAGAGTACATGGGGGGGGGAGGGTCAGAGGGAGAAGCAGGCTCCTCGCTGAGCAGGCAGCCCGATGCAGGACTGGATCCCGGGACTCCGGGATCATGACCTGAGCCAAAGGCAGTTGCTTAATCAACTGAGCCACCCAGGCGCCCTATAGGACTGTTTGAGGATTTAACCCCTTTAAAGGGATAAAATTTTAGATACTGAACAAAATTATCCTTTAAAGTTAAAACCAAACCTTAATGATATCTAGGCTCTTGCAGATCTACTTTCTAATTCTGACACGAATACAAGAGATATTAAGAAATAAATTGTATAAAGCAGAGAATAGTTATATAATTTCCTCTACACCTACAGCTTTTCTACAAAACCACCCACTTCACTTAACTCTGAATGCAAAGTGCTGTGTAGGATTCCAGAATTTAGCTCAAGGCATTCTTTTGGCAATAGTCAGTACTGTTCAACTGCCAAACGAATTATAATTTTGCTGATCTGCGAAATGACATTTGAGCTAGGAGCAAAACCAAACCAAAAGGACAGGAAAATGGCCCTGAAATGAACAATTTTATAAAGTTCAGATTTTCATAAACTTAGCCCCAAATTCTGTAAGTCCCTTCGTCCTTCATTAATTAGTTCACTAGTTTCTCTCTTTTGTTGGACCAGGGACCAGAGGACCAACAGTCAGCTCAAGTCCCTACCTCTATTTCATGGTCTCCTGTCCTTGTCTAGGATTTAGGAAAAAGATGTTCCAAAGAATGTAGCCTCCTCACATCTAGCATTGACAATAAACAGAAATCCAACAAAATCTGAATGATTCCCACCAAATTGGAAAAATTTACTACCAACGTGAATGAAAGAAAAACGATAATGTAGGACACAGCACCTGCAGACCAGTGATTCGCAAATCGGCATTTTTTTGAAGGGGGTAAGGAGGGAGTAGCAAACCCCTTTAAGAACCTAATGAAAGCTAAGGACACTCTCCAAAAAAAGAAATCACACGTTAAGCACAGACACTTAAACAGAACCCCTTAGCCTTCATTAGGGTCATTAATTTTCTCTACCTACAACTACCAGTTTACAATTAAAATAACTTGACTGTATAAAAAGCATAGTATAACTAAGTGAAAATCTATAAGCCTTGCTATAGGACAAAGGTAAATTAACTAAATCAAGGATGACACTTTGTATATCAATATGCAAGTTTTGCTTTTTGGTCTTTTTTCGTAGTTAGTGGAACAGAAGCCTGACTTTCCTAGACAGCTTCTGTAAGTGGCAAGAAGCAAGGATAAGTGGCGAGGACGCATTCTGAGGCCAGGGCCCTCAAGCTTTCTGATGCGGACTCTCAGACACAACCTGAATAAATTTTGCAGGATCCCAGCATCCTGATGGCTCAGACTCCCTTCTGCTGTGTTTGCTACCCCTTTAGAATGTTCACGAGCCACTGCTCCTTTATCGTCTTCTCCTTTCTTCCTTCAGAATGTCCTAATTCATTTTTCTGTTTCCATCTTGCCCAATCCTGGACAACCAGCTGCAAATAAATATCCTAAGAATGCTAACACTACAGTGGATGAGGGCAATCTATAGGCAAATGAAGTTTGAACTCTTTCAGAAACATCCCAGGTTCTATTACATGAGTAATTCTTTTTCTTTTTTTTCAAGATTTTACTTATTTATTTATTTGACAGAGAGAGAGAGAGAGAGAGAGAGAGAGAGAGAGAGAGAGACAGCGAGAGAGGGAACACAAGCAGGGGGAGTGGGAGAGGGAGAAGC